CTGCTTCGCTTCTGAGATCAGCTTGGGTTGGGTTCCTTCAGGGTGTTTCAGTCCGTGTATAATAAGTAAGAAATCTATTTGAAACACAGAAGAAGAAAAAAGAAATCAAATTGGTTCTCTCCCTCCTCCCAAACCCATTCCAATTTTATCAGCAATGATCACATTATTAACTTCTGCCCAGAGTTTCCCGGAATCCGCCTCCATTTCTCCCTGCCTTCCCCGAGGCTACCAAAGCATTGGGACGGGATGGATATTACCTGCAATTGGAAAAGACCGCCACATATGCTTCCCCTTCGATAAAGTCTAATTGTTTCCATATGGCCCAATCAAGGGGCATGATGTTGTCGATTTCTTCGGCAGGATTTGCCCACATGTTCTTGGCAAGGATTCCTGGAATGGCTCGCTTCTTCGAAGGGCTCAGGTGCCAGGTATTACGAAATCATTTGGATGGGACCGAGCGACGGCTGTGCGAGACTGGCACCCCATTGCGCTGCTAGGCTAGGATGAACAAATCGTTGCACCGTTGTGTTCTCTCAGAGCTGGCGGATGTGAGCGCCATTGTAGGGACCTACATCTGCAGCAGCTAAAAAAGCCAATATGATCCCGGTGTGTTCAGGGGAATTCAGCACTAGAGCTACACAGCGGAGTTGTTGTTGTTGTGTGCTTTCAAGACATTTCCAACTTATGGTGACCCTAAGGCTAACCTATCCTAGGCTTTTCTTGGCAGGTTTCTTCAGAGGGGGGGTTGTCATTGCCATCCTCTGGGGCTGAGAGAGTGTGACTTGGTTGCATCAATAGGGGTATCATATCTAGATCAGGGGTAGACAACCTTTTCCCTTTAAGGGCCGAGGGACTTCAGCTCCCAGAAGCCTCAGCCATGTTGGCCAATAGTCCCATGTTGGCCAATACCTCCTGGGATTCTGGGAGCTGAAGTCCCTCGGCCCTTAAAGGGGAAAGGTTGCCTACCCCTGATCTAGATCAAGGAAAGCAATAGAGACACTATTTGCTTTGGTCAGACCTCACTTGGAATATTGTGTCCAGTTCTGGACACCACAGCTCAAAACGGACATGAACAAGCTGGAGCATCACCAAAATGGTGGAAGGTCTGGAAACCTCCAAGCTCTATGAGGAGAGACTTAGGGATCTGGGT